CAATCTCATGGTCCCCCCAACTTGGACTCACCTGCACCACCCGCACCAAGCTCTCGGGGTACTTCTCAAAGACGGCAGAGAAGGCTTCAACCGGCAGCCGTAGCACGGTGGAGTCCTCAGCTGCTCGGGCGCACACTGTCCGGTATGGTCGCTGGTGGCCCTAGGGGACGTGCCATGGCGTTGGTGGCCTTGCCGGGATGGGGAGGTCCATCCTGGTCATGGATGGGGGATGGTGGCAGCTGGGGGCTGGCAAAACCCACTGGTGGCACTGGGCTTTTGGCTGGTTGGGCTTGGGGATGGATGGTCATGGTTGGGCTGGAGGAGTTTGGGGATGGCCAAGGGTTGGGCTGGAGGAGTTTGGGGATGGCCAATGGTTGGGCTTGGGGATGCCCATGGTTGGGTTGGAGGAGTTTGGGGACGGCCAACGGTTGGGCTTGGGGATGGCCAACGGTTGGGCTTGGGGATGGCCATGGTTGGGTTGGAGGAGTTTGGGGATGGCCAACGGTTGGGCTAGAGGGGCTTGGGGACAGCCAGCAGCTGGGCTTGGAGATGGCCACGGTTGGGCTGGAGGAGTTTGGGGATGGCCACGGTTGGGCTGGAGGAGTTTAGGGACAGCCAACGGTTAGGCTAGAGGGGCTTGGGGACAGCCAGCAGCTGGGCTTGGAGATGGCCACGGTTGGGCTGGAGGAGTTTGGAGATGGCCACGGTTGGGCTGGAGGAGTTTGGGGATGGCCACGGTTGGGCTGGAGGAGTTTGGGGATGGCCACGGTTGGGCTGGAGGAGTTTGGGGATGGCCACGGTTGGGCTGGAGGAGTTTGGGGATGGCCACGGTTGGGCTGGAGGAGTTTGGGGATGGCCCCTGCCACGCCCCTTGTCCCCCCTCTTGTCCCCGCACCGGTTCGGTGAGGAAGAGCTCCAACTTGCCATCCTGGAGGACGTAGATGCTGGTGTCGGGTTGGCCGGGCCGGAAAACGTAATCCCCTTGTTGGCATTGCTGGAAAACCATGTGCTTGCAAAGCTCCAGGAACAGCGGCTTCTCAAAGTGGCCCAGCACCCTACGGGGACACGGCGGGGGACAGCGGGGAACAGACCCTGGGGCTGAATCTTGACCCTAGGGCCGGATCCTGATCCCTCTGGAGCTGGATCCTGAGCCCCTAGGGCCAGATCCTGAGCCTGGGTGTGGATCCTGATCCCCCTGGAGCTGGATCCTGAGCCCCTGGGGCCAGATCCTGAGCCTGGGTCTGGATCCTGATCCCCCTGGAGCTGGATCCGACCCCTCGGGGCCTGATCTTGACCCCTGGGGCCTGATCCTGACCCCTGGGATGGATCCTGACAACCCCTCCCCACCCAGGGGTCTGATCCTGACCCCCATGGGACCAGATCCTGACCCCCAGGGCCTGATCCTGACAACCCCTCCCCACCCAGGGGTCTGATCCTGACCCCCATGGGACCAGATCCTGACCCCCAGGGCCTGATCCTGACAACCCCTCCCCACCCAGGGGTCTGATCCTGACCCCCATGGGACCAGATCCTGACCCCCAGGGCCTGATCCTGACAACCCCTCCCCACCCAGGGGTCTGATCCTGACCCCCATGGGACCAGATCCTGACCCCCAGGGCCTGATCCTGACAACCCCTCCCCACCCAGGGGTCTGATCCTGACCCCCATGGGACCAGATCCTGACCCCCAGGGCCTGATCCTGACAACCCCTCCCCACCCAGGGGTCTGATCCTGACCCCCATGGGACCAGATCCTGACCCCCAGGGCCTGATCCTGACAACCCCTCCCCACCCAGGGGTCTGATCCTGACCCCCATGGGACCAGATCCTGACCCCCAGGGCCTGATCCTGACAACCCCTCCCCACCCAGGGGTCTGATCCTGACCCCCATGGGACCAGATCCTGACCCCCAGGGCCTGATCCTGACAACCCCTCCCCACCCAGGGGTCTGATCCTGACCCCCATGGGACCAGATCCTGACCCCCAGGGCCTGATCCTGACAACCCCTCCCCACCCAGGGGTCTGATCCTGACCCCCCTGGGGGCTCATCCTGATCCTCGGGATGGATCCTGACCCCCTGGGGCCTGATCTTGACCCCCAGGGCCTGATCCTGATCCTCGGGATAGATCCTGACCCCCCCAGGGACACCTCCTGACCCCCCTGGGGCCTGATCCTGACCCGTGGGACGGATTCTGACAACCCCTCCCAGGGGCCTGATCCTGACCCCCCTTGCGACCAGATCCTGGCCCCCAGGGCCTGATCCTGACCCATGGGAAGGAACCTGACTCCCCAGGGACATGCCCTGACCCCCCTGGGGCCTGATCCTGACTCCCCAGGGACATGCCCTGACCCCCCTGGGGCCTGATCCTGACCCCCGGGGCCTGATCCTGGCAACCCCTCCCCCATCCAGGGGCCGGATCCTGAGCCTCACCGGACATTTTTGAGCATGTAAAGGACCTCGGAGGGCAGATGGGAATTGGCGACGTCGAATTCGGTCAAGTCGGCTTCCAGCACGGAGGGAGGGGGCTCCTTCAGCTGCAGGGTGGGCAGCTCCTTCTGGATGCGCAGGAACCTTGGGGACAAGGAGGTGACATCGGGGCAGGGTCACCCATCCCCGTCCCCCGGCGCTGGTGGCACCTCACTTTTTGGCGATGTTGAGCATCTTGAGCTTTTTTTTCATCCGAGGCCGCGAGGCGCTGGAAATGGTGGTGTCCACCAAGGAGGACGTGGATTGGGAGACCTGGATTTGGGGACAGCGAGGCCGGGGAAGTGTCACCCCGATGAGGGACACCCCATGAAGTCACCTCAGGTGCCACCCTGAGCATCACCTTGCGCATGATCTTGCGGCCGTAGAAGAGCATCTTGTCCCGTTTGCGGAAGCGATATTTCGGCGTCCCCTGCGCAGGTATTTCTGGGGAAGAAGTTGGAGATGGGTTAAGGGGGCGTGGCCCTGTCCCCTCTCCCTGTCCCCAAGGCCACCGCGGTGGTGTCACTCACTCTTCAGGCGCAACCGGCGGACCAGGACCACAATGGCAGCGGCGATGATGACGACGAAGAGGCCGAGGCCGAGCATCACCCCCAGCAACTGTGGAGGGAGGGGGGGGGGTTGTCCCCATGTGGTCCCCGGTGTCCCCTGGGGGACGGGGACTGAGTGGGGGTGACCGATGGCACGGCCACCTTGGTGACATGGAGGGATGGGAGGGGGTCAACAGCATCAGGGACCAGGACACTGTCCCCAGGGGGGTGGGGACAAGTTTGTGTCCCCTTGGGGTCCTCAGCACATCGGAGACCAGGACACTGTCCCCAGGGGTGTGGGGACAAATCTGTGTCCCCTTGGGGTCCTCAACACATTGGGACAAGGACACTGTCCCCAAGGGGTAATAGGGACAAATTCATGTCCCCAGGGGCATAGGGACAAATCCGTGTCCCCTTGGGGTCCTCAACAGTATCGGGGACATGGACACTGTCCCCAAGGGGTAATAGGGACAAATTCGTGTCCCCAGACGCATGGGGACAAATTCGTGTCCCCTTGGGGTGCTCAACAGCATTGGGGACCATGACACTGCCCCCAGGGGCGTGGGGACAAGTTTGTGTCCCCTCGATGGTGCTCAACACATCGGGGACCAGGATGCTGTCCCCAGGGGGGTTGGGGACAAGTTTGTGTCCCTTTGGGGTGCTGAAGAACATTGGGGACCAGGACACTGTCCCCAAGGGGTAATAAGGACAAATTCGTGTCCCCAGGGGCATGGGGACAAATTTGTGTCCCCTTGAGGGTGCTCAACAACATTGGGGAGGAGGACACTGTCCCCAGGGGGGTGGGGACAAATTCATGTCCCCTTGGGGTACTTAGCAGTATCAGGGATCAGGATACTGTCCCCAAGGGGTGTGGGGACAAATCCGTGTCCCCTTGGGGTCCTCAGCACATTGGGGACCAGGAAACTGTCCCCAAGGGCATGGGGACAAATTTGTGTCCCCTCAAGGGTGCTCAACACATTGGGGACCAGGACAATGTCCCCAGGGGGGTGGGGACAAATTTGTGTCCCCTTGGGGTCCTCAACACATCGGGGACCAGGACACTGTCCCTAAGGGGTAATAGGGACAAATTCATGTCCCCAGGGGCATAGGGACAAATCCGTGTCCCCTTGGGGTCCTCAACAGTATCGGGGACATGGACACTGTCCCCAAGGGGTAATAGGGACAAATTCATGTCCCCAGGGGCATAGGGACAAATCCGTGTCCCCTTGGGGTCCTCAACAGTATCGGGGACATGGACACTGTCCCCAAGGGGTAATAGGGACAAATTCGTGTCCCCAGACGCATGGGGACAAATTCGTGTCCCCTTGGGGTGCTCAACAGCATTGGGGACCATGACACTGCCCCCAGGGGCGTGGGGACAAGTTTGTGTCCCCTCAATGGTGCTCAACACATCGGGGACCAGGATGCTGTCCCCAGGGGGGTTGGGGACAAGTTTGTGTCCCTTTGGGGTGCTGAAGAACATTGGGGACCAGGACACTGTCCCCAAGGGGTAATAAGAACAAATTCGTGTCCCCAGGGGCATGGGGACAAATTTGTGTCCCCTTGAGGGTGCTCAACAACATTGGGGAGGAGGACACTGTCCCCAGGGGGGTGGGGACAAATTCATGTCCCCTTGGGGTACTTAGCAGTATCAGGGATCAGGATACTGTCCCCAAGGGGTGTGGGGACAAATCCGTGTCCCCTTGGGGTCCTCAGCACATTGGGGACCAGGAAACTGTCCCCAAGGGCATGGGGACAAATTTGTGTCCCCTCAAGGGTGCTCAACACATTGGGGACCAGGACAATGTCCCCAGGGGGGTGGGGACAAATTTGTGTCCCCTTGGGGTCCTCAACACATCGGGGACCAGGACACTGTCCCTAAGGGGTAATAGGGACAAATTCATGTCCCCAGGGGCATAGGGACAAATCCGTGTCCCCTTGGGGTCCTCAACAGTATCGGGGACATGGACACTGTCCCCAAGGGGTAATAGGGACAAATTCATGTCCCCAGGGGCATAGGGACAAATCCGTGTCCCCTTGGGGTCCTCAACAGTATCGGGGACATGGACACTGTCCCCAAGGGGTAATAGGGACAAATTCGTGTCCCCAGACGCATGGGGACAAATTCGTGTCCCCTTGGGGTGCTCAACAGCATTGGGGACCATGACACTGCCCCCAGGGGCGTGGGGACAAGTTTGTGTCCCCTCAATGGTGCTCAACACATCGGGGA